CCTCCCAGACCCTTCCACTTACTGGACAGCTCACTAAGAATGCAGCTTCACAATGAATGTAAAATGGATGCTGTCCAGGAGGTGGTAGGGTCTGGGAGGGAAGGTCTGCTGCTGATTGGCTGGAATGTGTCTGCTGACTGTGAGGTACAGGGTCAAAGTTTACTCAATGATGAGTCTGCCGAGAACCGTTCGGCGAACCGTTCGGGACATCACTATTCATCAGGTATTCATAGCTCAAAAATGTGTTTTGAAGAAATAAATTTTAGTAATGTAGTCCAACAGCTAACATATATCAGCAATATATATATATACTAGGGGAGGTGTGCCCAAAAGGTAGATCCCAAGATGTTGTAGAACTCCCATGACGCTTTGTATGCATTTAAAATGCCTTTAGAATGACAAAGCATCGTGGATGTTTTAAACATAGGGTCATAGGGTATGGTAATGCTGGTAGCAGAAGACAAGCTTTGTTTTACTAACTCATTCAGGGGACATTTCCTTTCAGAGAGCTTGTATAAATATAGTTTCCAATACTTACATATGCATATACATGGCCTGGACAAAATGTCCTCTAAAATCACGATTACAGCCTCAGAAACTGGACATTGAGGCTTAGACTCGCTAAACCTTGTTTGCATTAAAGGCTGCTTCAAAGTCTGACAAAATGGATTGAACTGGAGATTTTGTGGACTTTAATGGCCTGTCTTTCTAACCAACCATTCCATAGTAGACTTGTGCATTCAGTGTTAAATTAATTTTTCTCTGATATCCTGAACTCCGAAGTGCTATATGAACGAATCATGAAAGAAACTAAACAGACATTGGACCTTTTCATTTGTTTCATAATTCAGAGTTCTTTCGTTATCACCAAAAAAAAAAAAATGATGATTGATGGAAAAAAAAGATGAATGATGGTTTTTAACAGTCACTAAGTTCATTTTATTCATAGATCAAGTGATAATTGACCAATGGAGGTAACAAAAGGGAAGCAGTAAATGCATAAATACAAATTTATATTTGTTTATTTAATAAATATATAATATATACATACAGATATTACTTACTGCTCCTTTTCTTTCCTCTATTGGTTACTTCTCATTTCATCTGTGAATCAAATGACCCCCCAAACATGTACATAATATTTATATTATTTGTATTATGTATATATTTTGCAGTACATTGACTGGACAATTGTCATGCCTTTTTTGTCTGAATAGTTTTCCAGAATTGATTGCACAGACAAAATTCATCCGAAACTAGACACCATATGGAAGAAACCAGAATCACCCGAAACAATGGTTTTTTTTGGACTAATCAATTCTGACAAACTTTTTTTGCTCTACACAAGTCTGTTCCACAGTATGAATTTTCCACTTTACATGACTTTGAGAAATTGATAACACTAAGCGTCCCTTTCTCTAATACTAAATGCCTTTAACTCTAAGAGTCCTATCCGCAACAGAGAAATTGCATTGAAGGTGAATGCTTAATAGTTCACCACTAGTAAACAATCACTCAAAGAATACAAGGTATTTCATACACAGTTTCATTGACAACATTTTAATGCTTTTCAGAGACGCCAGTAGAAATGTGTTTGGAATTAGGGAATTTTCATTTTACCTCTTAGAGCTGAATCACAATGCTTAATAAGTGATCAAACATCAGCTCTACCTATTAATTGTTCAGTTATATATAAATATATCACTGTGGCCACTTTTTTAAATCCATTTATTTATTGCAGTAATCATTTATTCTTGCAGATGAGCCAAGATAGACATCATCTTTATGAAAAAATATTTAGCAAAATATTGCTCAACTAATTACATCAGTCCTCTGTATAGATTTTAATTATCGTTGAATCATAAGTTATTATTACCCCCTCCCCCACCACCGTTTGGTGAATGCAGCAGTTATGTTATTTGCATTTATTATATATGATTATCTTATTAACGGAGTCAGGCATTCATAATTAATTGTTATAGATACAAATCAAGTGCTTTTTAAAACAGATAGCGGGCAGTATTTATATTCTGTTTACGTAGGTTTTTTTTCAGCAGTATTTAAATAATATGACATATAAATGTTAACAATGCTGTAAAATTAGAATGAAATGTATAATTAAATTCTAAAAGTGAGAGGGCAAAAAAATAACAGTTCTAACATGAATAGAAGACTACATGGTCTACTTGATTTATTTGAATTAAGTATATAATATGAAGTTAAATCAAACATACCATTATTTCATTGTCATGAAATATGTGGGACGAGGGTGGTGCAGACCAATATTGGGCATGGGTTACTGGTGATGCCACACTTTGATCCTGTCCATAAATAAGTTGGTCCTTGCTGAGAGAACAAACTGGGATAGCCAGACAGGCGCCATAAGTCAGGACTGTCCTGTTAAAACTGGGGCAATTGAGAGATATGCATCAAAGGATAGTTAAAAAATTATAGTTTGTATTTCTATTGTAGTGGAAGCTAAATATTAGAAAACCATAAAGAATATTGATCTTGATTTAATAAGCTTTCCAAATGATTTAATACTGTTAGAAAAGCAATCAAAATAATTGATCTGCAGAAGTCACCATTCAAGACTATGTGCATTTTTGTAGATAAATCAGTATTTGATCATTTGGAGAGCATATTAAATTGAGGCCATTTTTAGATTAACCCCTTGAGAGAAGAGGTAATTGTTTAAATTCTATACCAAAACAATACCTAGAATTTGAGCTATATGTTTGTTCAACCTTAATTTACAACTTTCAGATTAAGTGTACCCACAATTATTATATATCATTTTGTTCAGGAGGAAAAAGACTTTCATGTCACATCAAATATTTATATATGGAACATAATTTAATATGAATAAAATCTAAACAAAATGTAAAAATTAACAATTTTTGTTATTTTACGAGTTGATCAGCACTGAAGTTGTTAAAAAATGTTAAAAAATTAATTAACACTTGATTTTAACAGTTTGGGAAAATGTGATAGTGATCTCTCTTCCTCTCGCCTCCAAACAACGGGAGGGAAGAGAAAGGCAGAATACAATATTAGAGCCCCCGATACCAATCATTGGCTGTAACATTATATCAGTGATTGCGGTGACAAACTGTCAACGTAATCACATGACTAAGATCACAACCAATTGGCTGCTGGGGGACCGCCTGGGTTGTCAGGCAGTTCCCCCAGTCATATCTGGCGAGGCGAGTATTCTGGCGTGGCTGCAGAGGCATTAAAGGGAACAGGTTAGTTTCAAAAGGAGTAAGAAAACACTTTGCCTTTGCTTACTTTCTGTTCACACTGATTTGGACGGCAAGTGGATGACTCCTGTAACTTTGTTCAGGTACATTAAATTGAATTTATATTATAGAATGTGCTATCTTGTTGGATCATTTGTGTTGATCATAACAATGGTCACTTGATATGTACTGTATGAGGACTGTTTTTAAAGGGACACTGTAGGCACCTAGACCATTTCAGCTCATTGACGTGGTCTGGGTGCTGTGTCCCTTTTGCACCTAGTGCTGCAATGTTAAACATTGCAGTTCCAGAAAACTGCAATGTTTACATTGCAGCACTAAGTCTGCTCTCAGTGGCTGTCTATCAGACAGCCACTAGAGGGCTTCCAGAATCGTAACGGACTTTTGGGCCGTTATCTGACGCTTGACGTCCACACGCTCTACATGAGGACCTCCAGCATCAAATTTTTCCCAATAGGAAAGAATTTATATAGGAAGGTCTAATGCAGGACAGAGGAGGGGGTGGAGCATCAACCCAGTGCCGAGGGACATCGGCGCTGGTAATAGGTAAGTAAATAAAGGGTAGGAGGGGGTGCGAGGAAGGGGGAGGCTGAGGGATCGATAGTGCCCGGAATACAAATTTGTATTCCTGGCACTGCAGTATCCCTTTAAGTGCAAATCCTGAGGACTGTCAGTACAGTAATTGGTAATTTAGTGTTGCACATTTGTTTCAACTGTGTGAGAACAAAATGTATTTATGTGTTGCCAATATGAAGGCAAATATAAAAAATAGCAAATTACTTTCATGATGGTAAGATTATTCATACCGGCTGTAATGCGCAGAGGGAATTTGTCATTTTCCGCCAATACTCTCAGACATGTTGTTTCAAAGTGGGCGAACAAAGCAAAATAGTTAAGGGAAACAAATATTAGAATGTCCCGCGGTGTTGTAATAGGATGAATCTGTATCTCTCTTTTATGATAACATTACATATTGACTGTAAATCGACCTCTGGTGCAGAAAATGTCATAAGTCTCAATTCACAACAGTTTATCTTATACGCAGCGGTAGGTATTTGGGAATTAATTCCCCACAGAACTTGGCATAGTTCCAATGAGTGTAAATGAATCTCTAACTGGGCCTTCCAGATAAATAAATAATAATCTGTATATGTGTGTGTGTGTCTGCCCACATGTATGTCTTCCTGTCCGTCCATCCATCTACGTCTATGGATCTCCATGATGGCATTATTCTCACCTATTACATTTTATTCATTTATGTTTTATTACATTATTAAATTTTACCACATGACAGGAGGCTTCGTATTTTGCATTAAACTCTCTTTACTAACTCACACAGCAGTAAAGAAAAGTGAAAACATTAACCAATCAAAATGCAATAGGAAGCATAGTATTCACAGAGATAAGGCTCCTCCCCCTCTTTCTTTACTGCTCCATCAGCAGACAGGTCAGAGTTTTGGCTCTTCCCTTACTTATCATTTCTTTCTGTTATTCTCATTATATTTATGCTTTATATATAGTATTTTTCCCTATTTGTCTCCTAGGACTTCTGTCCTTCTGCCTAATCCTGTCTCCTCTCAGGATTTCTTAGATTGGCTTATTGTTTACATATTTATCGTTTTGTTATTATTCTTTTTTATGTTCCCCCCCTTTTTTTTTTTTTTTTTTTTTGTTTTCGGCGTTTTTCCGATCTCCCTTTATGGGAGATCGATCCGATCGATCCGATCTCCCATAAAGGGAGATCGGAAAAACGCCGAAAACAAAAACAATAACCCACAGGGTTCATCCTCGAGGGTAACGCTCACCCTCCTCACTGTCTGTTCACCTCGCGTCTTCTCAGCCGCACTCACTAGCCGACACGGCGGGAAACCCCTTTCCCGTCCCTCCGGCGGCCATATTGGATCTCGCGTCTCGCGAGAGTCACGGCCGCCATCTTGGGAGACCGGCGGTCTCCGTTTTTTCGGCTCCCGACCGCGAGCTTGCCACACACTATTCAGGCAGGGGTCAGCAGGTTAGTGCATTGCCCATCTAACCTCCCATAAGGACTGTCAGTCCCACACAGTATTGGACAACTATCAGTTCACTGATATTGGGTGGATTTTGTGCCACTTTTCCTATACATATCTAACTGGGTGAGGCCCTTTTAATACTGCTGCTTTCAGGTGGATTTTGTGCCACCTATATGTGTGTATTGTCAATTTTAGCCCAGTAATAGGTGGATTTTGTGCCATCCTTATACATACACATACCTGGGTGTAGCCCAGTAAAAAATCCCAATCTACCCTGCTGGGGGTGCCTACAGAGTTAAATTATACTTATACCCTACTGGGGTTCTATTGGTACCACTGATACCATAATTTACTGTGTGCAACACCGCAGCCTGACCCCTAGCCCTACGTATACCCTGTGCCTCAAGACTCTACCTCTACGGTCCTACTCCTAAAACACTATGGAATCTTCCCAAAACCCTGCAGATTTTCAGGCCATGATTTCTGAGGCCATCTCCACATCTAAGGAGAAGGCACTTTCCAGGGTCATGACGGCATCAGCCGATCTAACCATGTCTTCCTCTAAAGCCACACCCCATGACTATGATTCTGAGGCTTCTGAATCGCAGACACAAGCCGACCCACGGCCTATTAAACGCCACTGGAAGGGCGAAAAGGGGACCGTTGTCCCGGGCAAAGGCAAGGCTCCTACCAAACGCCATAAGCCCACCCGACCTGCCCCCACCCCTCAACACGGTTACTCCTCGGATGAGGGGGAAGACCCCTCGCACTCCTTGGCTATACTGGACGAGTGGAAGGCTGCGGATTCCGACTCACATGACGACGAGTGGGACTCGGACACCGGATCCCATACCGGTTTCTTACGAGGCACATTCCTGGACGACATCCAACTACCAGATGACCTCGCATCTGCCCAGGAAGAAGGGGAGGCCATCCTGGACCCTACTGGACAACGCCTCTTTGACCCTCGTAACATACAACACCCACGCTCAGCGGACTGGACTCCGCCTGATCACCTCTCCAAATTTATGCACCGGTGGCTCCGCAAACCACTGGACAAGACGGTGCACAATCGTCTTCGCTCCGAATGTCCTTGCCCTTCGCTCCCAGATCATGTGGCTCAGACACCCGAATTCGACCAGGTCATGACCACATTCATGTCCCGGGGTGGCCGTGACCCCCGAAGGGGTGTGGAAAAAGGATTCCACGGAGTCCAGGACAAGTTGCTGGACTCCATCGGCCCACTTGCCCGCATCATGTATTTGGCGGACGACGCCTTTCAACGAGCTGACCAGTTTGATACCAGAATGGTAAAAGAATGGTAATCACATGGTAAGGGAATGGGCACACAGGTGCTTCTGTTTTGTTGGTAACACCAACGTTGCCCTCTCCTCTGAGAGGCGTAAAGCAGCATTGCTCCGCATTGACGGTAAGCTGGTGGAATTGGGCACCAAGGAGTTAGGACCGCTGGCACAGGGCAAGTTGTTTGGCAAAGCTTTCTTGAAAGAACTAAACAAGCACGTTAACATATTCACATCCCTGAATAAAGCTCAGTCCTCAATGAAGCGAGTCTTCAGGGGCTACCCCAGTCGGGGTGTTTTTGGACGGGCTGGCCGCCATAGGGGCCGTGCCGCCAGCCGCTTCTGGCCTACAGGCCCCCGTTCCCACAGACCTCAGCCCTTCTACCCAGAAGTCGGCTTCAGAGAACCCTTCTCCTATACCAGAGGAGCCGACCGAGGCAGAGGACCACGTGGTCGTGGCAGAGCACGCTTCCCCACAGGTAAGCAGCCTTTTGAATCCCCCCTTTTCCCCACGTACTGCTGGTCGTATCGCTCTATATTTTCGGACCTGGACCACCATCTCCGCGGACGCTTGGATCCACCAGACGGTGAGAGGATACATCATCGATTTCGTGGACATCCCGCGCCAGAATATCTCCCCGCACACTACACGATGCTCAGCGGAGGACCACCAACTCATCAACGGCGAACTGCAGGACCTCCGAACGAAAAGACCGATCGAATCCGCTCCAAACGGAGGGGGTTTCTTCAGCAATATCTTCCTGGTCAAAAAGAAAACAGGAGATTTCAGACCAGTCATAAATCTAAGGCAGCTAAACGCGTACGTGATGTACTGACATTTCAAAATGGAAGGCATCCACCTTCTAAGGGACCTCCTTCAAGACGGGGACTGGTTCACGAGATTGGACCTCAAGGACGCGTACTTGTCAGTACCCGTCCACGTCTCATGCCGACAGTTCCTCAGGTTTCTTTGGAACGGCCTACCGTGGCAGTTCACATGCCTTCCATTCGGCCTCAGCTCAGCCCCGTGGTGCTTCACATAACTGCTGAAGCCTGTAGTTGCACATCTACGAGCACAAGGCATTCGTTGCATTATCTACCTGGACGACCTGCTACTGTTTTGCTCAGACAAGTCCAGACTGACTCTACACACGCAATATACCATCCGATTCCTGACGTCCCTGGGATTTGTGGTGAATCACCAAAAGTCGGCAATCTCTCCAGCCCAGACCATACAATTCTTGGGCTTCGAGATAGACTCCACGTCCAGCACTCTGCGGCTGCCAACATAAAAAATCACAGCCATCAAGAAGGAACTCCGCCGGGTCCTCCGTTGCCACTCCATTCCACTCCGCACCTTGGCGTGAATTGTAGGTCTACTATCCGCTTCCATCCAGGCAATTTTCCCGGGTCCGCTCCACTACAGAGCGATGCAGCGCCTGAAGACGTCCTTCCTTCGCCGGAACCCTTCCTACGACCAGACCATCCCAGTAACGGAGGAAGTCAAACAAGAACTCAGCTGGTGGTTGGACAGCATGGAGGCATGGAACGGCCGTGCCATTTTCGGGAGTTCACCCGACACAGTCCTGGAATCAGACGTGAGCCTCTGGGGCTGGGGCGCGACTTGCGAAGGCAGGTCGACAGGAGGTGCCTGGAGTTCCCAAGACCTCAACCTCCACATAAATTGTCTGGATCTCCTGGCCGGGTCGTTCGCGATCCACAGCCTAACAGGAAACAAGTCGAACTGTTGCATCCTCCTCCGGATGGACAACATATCTGCGGTCCGCTACATCAACCGCTTGGGAGGTGCACGATCCCGACTCCTCTCGGAGATAACGAAACGGATCTTCGACTTCTGCCTACCACGCAACATCTCCCTCATCGCAGAGTATCTCCCGGGAGAGACGAACCTGACTGCAGATTGGTTCTCACGCCACTGGCGAGACAGCAGCAACTGGAGACTGGACCCGCAGATCCTCCAGTGTCTATCGCGCAGGAGGGGTCCCCTTCACCTGGATCTGTTTGCGTCACGCACCAACAAGCAGACGCCCAACTACTTCAGCTGGCTCCCGGACCCGGAGAGCATGGCGGTGGACACATTCCTCCAACCATGGCCACCCAGAGGAGCTTACGCCTTTCCCCCGTTCGCCATGATAGCAAGGACGATTCAGTACCTGAAGACCCAACGAGGGTATCTTCTCCTCATCGCTCCCCTATGGCAGAGCCAACCCTGGTTCCCGGACCTCCTGGCATCGTCCTTCAAGGATCCGCTCCTCATACCATCCTATCCAACACTCCTCACGGACCCGAAAGACAACCCTCATCCTCTCGTTCTGGAAGACCGTCTCGTGTTAGTGCCTTGGACTCTTTCAGGGGTGCCTGGCAAACCAGCGAGTTATCGCAGGCAGCTAGAGATCTCATTTGGGACTCATGGGCTCCAGGTACCAGGCGATGTTACCTATCAGCTTGGTCTTCCTGGTCCTCTTGGTGCAGTGAACAGAACATCGATCCCTTTACTGCCCCTGTGACGGCCATTTTGAATTTTCTTTCATTTCTTTTTTCCGTGGGCCGTTCTTATCGCTCTCTCAACGTTGTCCGCTCCGCGATTTCGGCAGCGCACGACCCGGTCATGGGAATCCCTGTAGGCAAAGACCCCATGGTCTGCAGACTCCTGAGGGGCGTTCGGTTGCAGAGACCCCCTCAACCCAAATACTCCCGCTTATGGGACATCGAAGTCATCCTACAATTCGTAAGGGATTGGCCGGACAACGGCAGACAATCCCTACGACAACTTTCGGCAAAGCTAACGCTCCTACTCTGCCTTGTCTCGTTCCGCCGGGTCTCGGACGTCCGTGCTTTCGACTTCGACGCCTTTTCGGTCTCACCAGAGGGAGTTACCTTTCGAGTTTCACGTCGGACGAATTCGGACTCTACGTCGGTCTTTTATCCGTTTTTCCCGTCTGACCCACAGCTCTGCGTGGTGGCTACCCTACGTCGGTATGTGGAGGTCACATCCCCTCTCAGGGTCTCCCCCTCGGGTCAACTGTTAGTATCTTATGTTAGGCCACACGTACCAGTCTCGGTCACTACCCTCGCCAGGTGGATAAGATGGATTCTATCATTGGCAGGAATGGACGAGACTTTCGGAGCCCACTCCGTCCGCGGAGCGGCGGCTTCTTCGGCCTTCTCGGCGGGTGCTTCTCTGACAGATATCCTACGCTGCGCGGATTGGTCGCGAGAATCTACCTTTCGGACATTTTACTTCCGCCCGAACTCGGGAGCAGCCTCATCTCTCCTACATCTGCGTTAAAAATGCAAAATACGAAGCCTCCTGTCATGTGGTAAAATTGAAGATTATGCTAGCTTTAGTGTACCTATAATCTTAATTTTAGTAATGACAGGAGGCGAGTATTTTCCCGCCCATCCCTCCCTTGGGAGATAAGGCTCACGTAAGTATGTTTGACTCTGTATGCTTCAGTCTCTGTTTGTGTTTGCTCACTCTGGACTTTTATTGGCGTTAGCCTTGATCGTTTTCTTGTACTTGGTATTCTGTTATCGTTAATTTCAGTTATTTGTTATTACTGTAACTAATCATGGGCTGTTACATTTAATTCATTCAGTCTCCAGATCGGTTCCTAACCTATTTCACGTTCTCTTTCAGTGTAATTCCGTGGCTTTACAGCTCATTATCAGGACGGACT